TCCTTTACCGAAAGCTCCCATTCCCCGCTTTCCGAACACGTTTCTACCTCCAAAGCCTTTTCTGCCTTTTGCGGTGAATCCCTTCTTTCCTGTGAAACCTCTCTTTCTACCCTTAGCCATTCCTCTGCCTTTACTCATGCCCCCGCGTCTTTTCACACGTGTCCCAGCTCTTTTTCCACGTGCACCTTTCTTTCCAGTTTTCGTAGCTTTACGACCGCGTTCTTTCTTGCCACCTTTCGTTCTTTTTTTGTCCTTTCTGCCCTTCTTCCCTCTATGCTTCCGATGTTTTCTATCTTTTCCCTTTCGTTTTTTCTTTCCTCCTTTTTCCTCGTCTTCATCAGACGATTCAGCCGGACTCAAACCTTCTTCGCCATTTAACTCCTCGTCATTCTCCCATTCATCCGCATCCAAGTCGGCACTGTCTTCCTCACTTCTGAAATCTTCGTCGCTCTCGTCAAATTGATCTATGAAATCAGCCACAGCTCCCACTTCATCTGGTCTTATATCGCCTTCTTCGTAATCACCTGTCTTTTCTTCTTTCAAATTTTCCGTCATAACTTCACCATAATAAAATGATGCCGGATAGCCACCAATGGGACATAGCCAAGCCGGAGCGACACACGGATTATCGGGATCACTTTCTTCGTCGAGTCCCAAATGGTACCAGTTAGAGATGCCGGAATGAAGAAAGCGCCAAGAAACCTGAACGAAGACCTAAAATCGAAGATTCATAGACAATACGTTTCTAGCAAACATGTGGTACGCTACAGTATTACCGAATTTATAACAAAAGATCTAAACGGTCGATAATCAGAAAATGCGCAACGCCAATCATAGCTGCATATGTTACTGCCGATTCTACATCACAGTCTTTGTGTTTGTTGTTTTGCATTGTCATCTGAGGTTAACAGAGATTGAAAGGCAAAGTAATCCAGATTTATGATGTATGATCGTTAGAAATGGTACCTCAGATTGATAGTAGGCAATGTTTACGGCTACGACAAATGTTATATTCCATTTCGGAAGCAGATTTGCCACAATGAGGCATTTCCACGTTTTACCTTTTAAACCAACGTGTCTACGACTAGTGCACATCACCAAGCAAGAAAAGTTGTCAATACACTTCTATTTCTGGGCCGTTCCATCAAACCAAGTCATACAGTGGTCTCTGAAGTCATCTCATAGGTTTCTCAGACCATAGGTCGTCAGCAAGTGCCCATCCGTGACCAAGTGGTGCCACTTAACTTTGAAAGTACTCTGCAGACAGCGTTGCTGAAAGCAACCCAAATGAGCTACATGACATTTCAGAACGGCAGATGTTTTGAGGCGGTGTTACACGAGCACTGCGAATACGGTTGCTTTCACGAAAAACGTAGTAAGAAACACGATAATGGTATGCTTACGGTCGAAATGACTTTAGTCAGCAAAGGAGTTGTATGTTGTCATTGATGCATTTAACATTTTAGAAACAGTGACGAATTCAGTCCGATTTTAAACTTACATCAGTAGCTATGTTGTGAAAAAAGCTGATCGCAAACTTGACGAAATTTAAAACAATGAAAGTAGTCATAAGGCGCACCCTTACGCGGCATAGAAAGAAATGAGCTGCAGTACCGTTGCTATCACCTCGATCCTATTCTGAAAGAAATCAGTTACTGCAAGATCGAGGTATGTCAGTGTCTACGAATTGCAAGAACCTATGTAGCAAGACTGATCATATATATTAAGCGCTAAAAGTGAAAGACGTGAGACCCGTCACAGCAATCATATGCTCTGTCGAGAGCTTGGGCAACAAAAACGCACAACGCATGTCTGTAGACAATATGGAAGTATGGCATTAGAGATGACTGCTATGAATATTCAGGAAAAACCTCAGAACTAATAAATGAGTTTTACAACAACTTGGAACCCAATGCTTGCACTATTAAAGCATACATGAGCAAAAACAACGATAATTTCACGATACGCGAAAAGAAAACGCAGCTGACTGGACAAATGAAATCAAAATAAGAGCGAACGTTATACCACGATCATACTAGGATCGCCAAAGACTGTGAAAGCGGCTAGGAGTAAACCATCATGCCATATACCACGTTGCAGTTGAGAATGAAACTTACTAAGAACAATATAGATCCAAAAATCCTACAAAACGCGTGATCCAATAGATAAAAACACGTGTCAGCCATTTGGAATAAAACCTTCTGTTTTGAAGGGTTCTTACTTCAAATATTGGCAAAGAATCGGTTATGAATTTTAGACCTACTCGAACTGTTAATGCGCAGTAAAACATATAGCAAAGGAGTGAACAATGCTGTCTTGTCTGCCAGTTTTTCTGCAACCCTGCATTAGAACTAACTGGCTATAAATGTTACTTCCACCTTTGAGTTAGTTCATCTGATGACTTCTTCAAATTGGGTAGAATGACAAAACAGGCAACTGATTTCTATTTATACAGGTTAAATGCAAATTGTTTATTCTCTCCACATACATTGTTTTCTGGGCTGAAGGATTTACAAACAACAGCGGTATTTATTTGATGGCTAATGAAGAGTACCCTAACACTTGACAACGGAGTAACTAAGCCAAAAAAAATCTCGCGATGTGCTCACAATGCTTTAAAGCTCGCACCATTACCTGTAGTTACCGATGTAATAGGGAGATACTGCTGAGAAAAATCAAATATACCGACAAAGCAATCTGAAAGGATGACTTGCCATTTATTTTCCAAGGACACGACAGTTGTCTGGTAATGACAGGCCAGACATCAAACTAGTCCTAGATGTAAAGGGTGAATCGTTACCGCGACCCGGGGAACCACCTCAAGCTTTTTAAAGGTTATTCATAAAGTCTACCCTTTTGATCCTTAAACCGACCTCACTACTATAGGTTATTACAGATCATTCACCTAATAAGAAAGATATTCAAAACAACACTTTGCCACAAATCATGGTACAGAAGATTTACAGTGCAGATGGAATTACTCCTGAGTTAATTAGATATGAAGGAAAAGGAATGCTAGAAAGCTTCTGCTCCTTTAATAAACAAATACGAACACCAGAAAATTTTACAAGGTGTTGGGCATTGTTAATCAATTGGTATAGCATATCAAGTAACTTGACGTAATTCTTTCACCCGACATTGCCTGGCATATGCATGTCCATGCAGTAGCAACAAGTTGTTATTAGGCTTGCTTTTACGCCAAAAGACTGAGCGGACTTCAGGCACCGAGAGATGCAGCAAGGAATTTCGTCTTCGCGTGTATTATTTCCCGCGATACATAAGCTACTGCTCTCGAATTCCCCACTGCAGGTGTGTAATTTCAAGATTATCAGGAGGTCACTAAATTCAGATTCCAAGCTAAATGGCATGCCATATGCCGATGTTCGCAGTCGAATTTTCTGTCCTGTAAAGAGTACAAATGGAGAGGAATATCCTGGA